GCTCTGCTGCCCCCGCCCCTCTCTTCCGAGCCGCTCTCTGAGAGATGGTAAACTTTAGCCGCATTCATCGTGAAACTTGCAAACTAGCACGTTATTAGGAAAGGCGATTTGCAAAGATTCATTAACAAACCATACACTCACTTCTGGAGGTGATGCTGGATCACGAATGATTCGCGTGAAAATAGACGAATTTAGGTAGATCGGGGGTGCATTCCTTCAGAAACAAATGTAATCCACTGTGTCTTCAGCGGCTCAGATGTCGGGAGTAAATGACGACTGCTATGTTCATTATTACATCCAACAACAGAACACCTCAATCACTTAGGAGTCATTCTTGTCTACATCTGCTTCAGCGTCGAAACAATGGCGGACTGATGACAGCTCACTCAGGGCTGGTCTAAGGTAAGACACCAGTCCAGTCTGTGCTGAAACACTACTGTCAATCAAACTATCGTGGGAGGGGCCTGTTTTTGTGATGTCACACAGACAGACATCTGAGATCGGCTCGATTTGAGAAAGGGGAACTGATTTAACGAGATAAATAAAAAAAAAACACTGGGTGGATCTTTATCATTATAGGGTAGTTGTGTACACACACTTCCAACACACATTTCAGTTCAAACAGCTTGTAAAAGTGCATGTCGCATCCGATGACCCCTTTAAAATACAAAAATATATACATCATCATCAAAAAAAAAAAGTAAGAATGGAAAAGATTTCATGCTTGAGTTTGGGAAATATAATCAGCATGTAATTTGTGCAAATTTTTTTTTCATATGAATCTGCAGAAAATCCCAAATTTCAGGTGTGTAAACCTGTTGCATCACACCTAAAAATACTTGAGGCTGTAACCGCTGATAAAGGTGCTTCAACTAAATACTGAGTTGAATACTTATGCCAGTGTGATATTTCAGTTTGTTCTTTTTAATACATTTGTAAAGTTTTCACAAATTAGGTTTTTGCTTTTTCATTATGGTGTATGGAGTGAATCCTAAATACTTTTTAAGTGCACTGTACACACACACACACACACACACTGGTTTCCACGTTTTATGGTGACATTCCTTGGACGTAATGGTTTTTTATGCTGTTTTTTATATCCCCTTAACCCTACCCCTCACACATAACTTCCTGCTATTTTTGTTTTTCAAAAAGTCTCATGGAGACCACAAAAAAAAAGTCCTCATTACTACCCTTGTGGGGACATTTGGTTCCCATAATGTAGGGAATACCAGGACACACACATACACAGAATTTATGAAGACAATGCTCTTACATAAGCCTTTTGATAAACATGTCCAAAATATACAAAGGGCTTTTCCAATAATATTACTGGAGAGCTTCCATCATCTGTAGAGGGACTCCTTATGTCTCCATTTCCAAATGGGTAGAAAAGGCCTGAAAATATAAAACATAGAGAGAGAAAGAAAGAGGGAGAAAGAGAGCGAACACAACTAGTGATCTACAACAGTGAACTTAAACAAGTTCACACTAATGGTTTTCACCCTGGGGGTGCGAGCACCTGTTAATTAAGATGAATACACTGGAGTGAAACAGCTGTGAATGTCAGATTTTGCTAGCAAATCTTGAGTCATCCACAAGAGGGGACAATTTAGCTGGAAGTCTCCCAGCTAATCAAGCGGCTGTTACATAGCTTCTTTGGTTACAGTTATGGCAGATGGCGTAACTGAGAGCGAGCAAAAACAACTAAAAACATAATGGACGGCTGGCTTCTGAAAATCAAGATGGTAAAATGGTTAAACCGACTGAAAAACAGGCTCAGCTTTCACACTGAATTCAGTAAGCTGTTATTATTTTTAATGTTTCAGTATAACTAACACCCTGTCAACACCGGCCCAGTTCCAGAGTCAGTCGAGGGTGCTTCTGAAATTAGTGAGGGTGCATAGCCTTAATGCACATTTATTTTGACATAAATTTTGTCCCGTCCATTGCTATAAATCAATGCAATTTCGAGAGTGAATACCACATTTATATGCCCTTTCCTTATATGTCCTTTTAGCAGCATGAAAAACCAAAGTTTTCCACAAATTCTATTTATAGCACAGAAAGCCTGCAAAGAGCGCTCCCTTTATAATCCCTAAAAAGCTGTCACTCATCTTTGTTCATTAAGATCTCACAAAGTTACAGAAAATTAAGCTGTCTACACTGCATAATGAATTTTTTTGTGTTATGATGTGTATATTATCTTATAGTCAAAAGTCTACGTGAGGGTAGGGGAAACTAGATTTAAAACTGGATTTGCATTAAATGGGATCTTAGACCTGGGGAGTTTGCACCCTGTTGAGGAGGAACGGGAGGTAATTTGGAAGAAAGGCCCTGTGAAGGGGCAAACCCTCTGCAAACTCTCTCGTATTTACTTTCAGTCTATTTCTCTGGACATGAGGCTATTGTACCAGTCACACTGAGATGTTTTAAATTATATCAGACATGACTGTTAATTCACTTGCATTGACGTGGAACATTATATGTTGCATATAACCATTCTGAGTGAACTGAGTGGGGGAGAAGGAACAAATGCTTGTTAGTTTAAATGTCAAGGTAGGTTAAGTCAAAGGGGTTCAAAACAATATTGTATAGGACAACACTGGATCGGAAAATGCATTCGAAATATATTCTATTTTGTTCCACATAAGAAAGAAAGTCATACGGGTTTGGAACGACGTGAGGGTAAATGGTGACAATCTTTATATATTTTTTAGTTGAACTACCATTTTCATTTATACAACTTTTAATGTAAGCTTAGCTATTACATTCACTTACAAAATTGTATAGAACCAGGTTACTGTTTTTTTTTGTACCTGTAGCTTGTCCATTGCACATAGCTTTTCTCATGTCACCTAAAAAGTAAAAAGAGAGAGAGAAAGATATTTAAAAAACAAACAAAAAAACATGTCGAAGTGTGTTTAATCACAAGACTTTGTATCTGGATGTTGTAGAATCTCTGCTCATTCCAGTATTTTAAATATTGGTGTATCCACCTATTTTCCACACCCCCTTGACGCTTTGCGTGAATTATGGGAGAAACTTCTGGTACACTATAAACAATCAGTTAAAGGTTCGCCATATGAATGCAATACTAAGCGTTTTCAAAAACCTGGCACAACGAGGCAACTGTCACTATCATGGACTTTTAGTTTGTTTTCTTTCCTCATGCTTCCCTTGACCTAGGCCGTTTCTCAATGTTCATACTATCCATCCTATATGTGAGATTAGAATAATTATGTCCCAAAGCATAGTATGTTGAAATGAGTATGCCAAAAGTACTATTTCAGGTCGATTTTTGAAGTGTGGATCCGTGCACACTCTAATGGCTAATATTGCCCACAATCCATTGCACTTTGGTGAAGGATTTTGTCCAGAACTACAAACATGAAAACGTGTTAAAAACTACAGACATGGCTTATGTGCGCGACCAGCGGTTAGGTAGAGAGGCTTAGAAAAAGGGGTTTGAGTTACTAATATTCAACATTTAACCTGGTAAAAATTATTTATTTAATGTTATCTATGTTATATTTCATCTGCAACAGCAATGTAAACTTTTATGAACATCCGTTTGGTCGTTAACTTTTAAATGCACCATTATGCATGAAATATGAGCAGAGTTCTCAGCATTAAAGACCCGGGACTGGCAGATAAATGTGCTACTTCTTTTCTCTCCAATACGGTAGGAAGTTAAATGAAATGCAATGTGGAGGATGTTAACTGTGACAAGATGATTGAAAGGCCAGTTTACAGTGACAGGGTGCGTGTATCAATGCGACAGAGCGTCCGTTAAAGACACAGTTGTGTGATGTGAAAGTATGTCCCAAAGCTTGCCTACTCTTCTACTACACACTCAAAAGTGTGTACTTTTTCTTCACCAAAAGAGTACATACTTTAAGGGCGTAGTATAAGTAGGCACATTGAGATGCAGCACAAGTACGCAAAGTTCGGACTTGCGGTCTCAGTACTTCGGACTTCGCAAATTCGACTCGGAAGTGCAAACTCCCGAGGACGGGAGGACGCAAGTCCGGTAATTCTGCAAATGGAACAGCAAAGTACTTGATAACGTCAATCAGCTCGCCTTGACTACTCCATTTATCCTCACTGTATATATACA